AAAAGGCAGTCCCTGAAGCAGCATTACAACCCTGGAGAGTGGTGAAAATAATTCATAAGAAAAGTTAACAGCTGCTCCTGATGTTGTGGAGGTTTATTTTGTGCTACTGAAAAGAAGATGGAGGGCAGTACATTTATTTGCTTTACACACAGGCACTTCAAGATGCAGACAGAGGTTTCCTTGTCCATCCATTAGTGTCCAACCAGGAATTTTTATTCACACCATCCTAAAGGCAATCTGATTTGGAGGGTATTACTGGAATATAATCAATATTGCTACCGATATTGACAGATACTTCTTTCCTTAAAACCAGCTGTGTTTTCAGAGCCATGTATTTTCCTCTGACAGATGCTGTAAGGATCCTACATGGCTATCTCTGTGATTGTCCCCAAGACTAAATTAAATGTAGCAGTTGCCATAGAGCCCCCTTAGATAGGTGAAGAAGTGTAAGACTTACTACATTAATGTTGCTCTAAAATGATGCTTACCCTGCAGTGGTTTCCAAAGGAAATAGTCTAACATGCTTCTTTAAGGCATTTCACCCTTCTGCGTCATGGGTTTTCAAAGTGGGTGATTGATTTGGAAACATYTTTCTGCTAGAAAAACTCTATCATTAGGCATTATTTTGTGCAAAAGAACGACACCTTTTTGCAACATTAAATTATACTGCAAATACTCTATTCTAATTTCTTTTGGCTAGTTAACTCACAATCCAAAATCTTATGGACAGGTGCTGCACATAAGTATCACCTGGCTCCTGGGTGCAATCACAGCCCAGGTGAAGCAGTTTGCAATAATAACACAGCATTTATCTGTTAGTTGGTACCACAAATAATTGAGGGTCTCAAGTTCCTGCACCAAGCTCCATGCTACATCATCCATTTACAGAAGTGAGAGGAAAGGGGTAAAAAAAAAGTCTTGCTTAAACAATCCTCTTAAAAAAAAAAAAARAAAAAAAAAATCCCCTGAGAGATTGCATAAAGAGGAATAATGAGCTCAGTATTATGAATGAAGCTTCTTTCCTCARGGCAAAAGAAAACAATGAGTTTTCTTGCAGCCAGGCCGTCCCTTAACAGCCTAGCAACATCTTACTCTTAGAATCATTCATAATGCCAGAGCCCCCTAATTTATATTTCATTTCACTCCAAGRGAAGGAAAAAAACCCCGCAGATTAGGAGCTCGGTGCATTTCGCAGTACCTGGGAGCTGCTGTGGCTCCAGGGGGCCGGGGCAGGAAGGAGAACGTGGCCACGGGGTGGGCGCTGCTGACCCCGGGCAACCGCCAGCAGAGCCGCGACCGTTGGTGGGGCGGTTCAAAAGGGAACGCAGCCGTTAGCCCCGCAATTTAAATAGGGTCTGGGACCGTTAGCGGAGCCGTTTATGGGGAGGGGGCGGGGTTAGCTCACATGGAAGCTGCAGCCGTTGGTTGGACAGTTCAAATCGGCGCTCGGCCGTTGGTGGGCAATTCAAAAACCAGGGCTGTGGCCGTTGGTAGGATCATTCAAACCGCGGCTCAGCCGTTAGAGGGGCAATTCAAAAACCAGGGCTGCGGCCCAGAGCAGGACAATTCAAACCGAGGCTTGGCCATTAGCAGGGCAGTTCAAAGAGGAGTGCAGCCCTTTGGGGAGCAGTTCAAAGGGCAGCACAGACATTGAAAACCCAGCAGAGCTGCAGGCGTCCGTGAGATGGTTCAAGGTGGGACCTGGCTGTCAACAAGACAAGCAAAACAGGATTTTCTCTACTATTTSATAGTTGAGGGCTGACTTGCAGCCCTGATACCTGCAGTTGGTTAAATATGGAAGCTGGTTACCTGGAGCAATTGTAGAACCTCTGACTTGCATATTCAAGACTAATGTGGGCATGGCTYTGAGCAGCCTCATCTGACCTCTGAAGATGCCTACCAATCTAAACCATGATTCTGACTGAAGCTTTTCTTGTTGATATGGGCGTGATTGCCAACATTTTTTTTTCTTAAACAGAAATAACTCTTGCTTTAAATCACAACCAAGTTAAAAACAAGTGCTGAATTGGACATTGTTTACAACAGATTTTTGAAGTGAAAAAAATGTCTGTGGCAAATTTGAAATGCATGGATTTCACCTAGAATACTCAGAATTTGGGTGAACTTTGCAAGTTGAGAAACATTTTTTTTTTTAATCTGTGAAATTAAATCTTGCCCTTATATCTTGCTGCTAAACTAGAAGACTTGTAATGTACCTGTAACCAGTGTTCCCACCCTGCCTCAAAACCTCTATGGCCAATACACTGTTGCAACAGCTACCTTCTGCTGGAATGCAAAAGATATCCAGGAAAAAAATCAGGAAAACAAGTAGAACTTCTTGAATAAAGGTCTCTGTTCATTCATGAGCAGAGCAAACAAAATGAGCACCAGGAACAGTCATGGCAGCTTTAAGAGCACCGTATTTCATCGCCTTCACTGAGATATCCTGCAGCAGAGGGGAAAAAAGGTAAGACTGCAGCTTACATGGAATATATTTAAATCTTGTTAGAGCAAAAGAAGTATGGTTTACGGTAATCCATGGTTATATGTTCTTACTGTGTGTACAGCATGTTATTGTTCTTGATGCTGTACAAATGCAACAGACTTGGTGTTATTATCTCAGCAATCAGGTCAGCCGCAAGGGAGGCATCTGCAAGGATTTCCTTGAGGCCTGACAGGGCTTGTTTGTTGCAGCAACTTGAGATACAAGAAGTTGGGACAGTGGCCTTGAGGCCTCCCCTGAGAATGAACTGCATTATAGCCAAAAAATAAAGGCACTCTTGATCTCTATACTGAAGAGGCAGGTCTGAAATGTGACCAGAAATAARTCACGGTTGTATTGAGAAGCATTGTTTCCTGTGCACAACACAGGGAAGGAAGGAAGAGATGAGTGCCGAGAATGGAATAGAACAATCTTTCACACTGGATAACTATGCCCTGGGGACAGGAGGTTTGGCAGGGGAATGTACCAGCCTATAAACATGCAAGGTGTTCAGTGTCAGGCATTTGGACAGTGGATCGCATCACAGTTTTTCCACATAAATTTCTGTGGCAAGAATGAGGGAGCAGTCTCACAGTGTTCTGACACCACAGAATGAATGTCAATAGCTCCGAATGTGCCTCCACATTCTGCAGACAGCCAGGTTATGCCTGGCTATCAAAGCAAGTATGAGTGTTAAAACTGTGACTGCTGAGGGATAAGCTTTATTTCTAGCTACCAAATGAGGATTCCTAGAGTAAAATGTGACTTGCTGTTCAGTTCTTCTACATAATGTGAAAGACTTGGTCCTTCTTTAATTCTGTGCGCCAGTGGTCTCTGTAAGACCCATGCAGGGGCTCAGATTTTCTATTGTGGGTCATGTTTCGGATTTTGGCCTGAGTTAAAAGTTCAAAGCAAAGGCAGGAAGAAGCTAGAAATAAAGAACACGTGATAGACTTTAGCAAAACAAGTCAAATCCACCTCTGTGACAACAAGAAGATTTTGCAAGGCAAACTCTTTTTGATAAGAGCATGAAAGAGTAGGCAATGAGTACCAACAGCAACAGAAGTATCTGAAAAAGATACGTTAGTGGGATAATTATTTTGGGATGGGATGAACAAAAGCAGCAGTTTATTCTTGTCTTACACACATGGCACAACATACAGAACCAGCACAAAAAAACTTACAAAACCTCATACACCATGCTTCCTCTCCAATAGCTTCTATTAAGTTACAACATCATAACGAATCAGGTATTTAGTTACAACAGATTTCTGGACATGGATAGTCTCCCATACAGGGAGTTATTATTTTTGTAAGCTACTTAGACAAACATTTTTTTACATGTTTAATACAGTACAGTATCCTTAACAGAGTTCAAGATATTCACAATGAGAATCGAATACTCTATAAAACAGCAGAATTTCTCATCTTGGGACAGGCTACATTCTCTCCTGCCTTGTCTGGTTTACAGATGTGTAACAAGTCATCTTTACTCCACTTCCCAAGCTAAACATTGTTTTAAATTAAAAACAAAATTCTATTTACATTTTTTCAATTTAATAAAAATTTTTGTTCCCTCTCCCTGTCCTACCCCCGCCCCCACAAACAACTGCCATTTAGCTGGTAGAAATATTAACTGTCAGACTGATATGGACATTTGAAAAAAGTGTTGACTACATCTTGTTGGATGCCAAAACGAAAGATGGTCACAGCCCATGATTAATTTTTTTTTCCCTGCTAGTTATAAGAATTTTTGTCCAGTAAAGACAAATGACTGTTGTCACCTATTTTTAGAGATAATGTACTACTTATGGGCTAATATATAAAACCTCATCTTTATTTATTTATCTTAAGTACAAGCTATCCTACTCCCATTGTTGCAATCATTTACATATAAGTTCTTTCCTTACTAGTATTTGTAACAACTCTGCCATTATGGGACTGCCATATGAACCCTTCCAAACTTCATAGCATCAAACTGGTCCCACAGTCCCACTGGTATTTCTGGACTGATTCTTAAGAAAGGTTTTATTCTGATTGCACTTCAAGCCCCACTGAAGCCTATGGTCATCTTTAATTTCTCAGCTTTGAATTAGATCTACTATCATGAGGTTGGCAAACTCTAGCCCTTAAGCAGTTAATCAACATTCTAAAGAAATAAGCAAAAGAGTCTTCTCCTTTATACATACAATATGTTTTGTTTTTACATTAAGCATTATCATAAAAGGCATGTTTATGAAAATGCATTTTTTACAGAACTTTATAAACACTGTTATATCAAACACATTCTCAAAAACTGGAGAAATTACTGACACAAAACCTGAAAGAGTTTCAATAGAATTCTTCCAGTGCTATACTTGCATATTTCTTATTTCAGCGTCCTTTACTGCAAACATATTTTGGCCATATGAGAACACATGAAGTCAACCAAAAAGCTCAAATAGGTTTCTATAAGACCTGGATATGCTGTTTAATGAGACTGATTTAATATCCAATATATTCCTTTTACTTGTATGCCTGTTCTGTTACCTTCATTCACACAGAGCAGTCTCTTCATTCCTGGATAGTCTCATTCACTTGAATGGTATTCAGTGGTATACGTGCAAAAAACACATATGCAAAAATACTGAAAACTGCTTTTACACTTTTTAAATCTTTGTTATTTCCACAGCTAACATTTTCTTCATATAAATTCTAATTGAAAAGAACAGAGGATTAATATTTGCAAACAGTACTATATCAGAAATCAGTGTACAAACTTTAGGAACTAATTTGCTTTCAGTTCTGCTATGGTTCTGACAGCCTAAAAATGTATCTGGTGTAACAAGGAGTAAATTTCACAGGCCTAAATATTTTATTTCTGTAMTTCTCTATGTTACACTTCATACTCCCCCGACCTGGCACAGTTTAAGAAAGTTAATATGTTCATATGTCGCACTAACATGAAATCATGATGTTATTTTCTCCTATCACCACCAATTTTCAGTACAATCAGTAACAGACATTAACTCAAATGATCTAAGTGAAATGTATTTTTTTTCAAGTAGTTCGCCTAACATAATGTTGCATGAATTATAATGTGAGTTTGGGTTCCTATCTTGCAGAAGTTTAGGAATGCATTCAACTTCRTATGTTGGAAGTAGTGTTATTGACTGTAGTGAGATGATTCACAGTTCAGGATGTTAAACAGAGTAAGAAAAAGAGGAACAACTTTCAATACTGCTAAACTGCTTGAAATATAACTGGTGAAAAAACACTGACTGTAGTGTTATGTATGTTGCTTCATTTTAATATAAATATTTTATCTTGACTAGAAATACTAAAGTGTCAACCTTCTCAGAGGAAAGAACTCAAACCATACTTAAATCTCAAATTCTCCCCAACCTGTGTCATGTGTGGTAACCTATGAAGGAGCCCTTTGACAAACAACAATGTTAATTTGCTCGCTGATTTTTATCATGTATCTACTTTAGTTGTTGTAATAAAACTCCATGTTAAATATATACATATTAAAAAATCCAAGTGTAAGTAATTATACAGTAATCCCACACATAGAACAGTTAGTTGCACAGGATGTGATATGTAAAGCAAATCACTGAAAAACTTTTCAGTCTTTGGGATGATCTAAATATAAGAAACCAAAACTTACAAATAATGATTGAATTTTCATAAGAGAAGGTTTCTGATGGAGGAATTCTGAAGGAATTCTCTTCTTATTGTCATTCTTAGTGGTTTTTATAGGGTCAGTGCCTTCCTCCAGTAAACCACCTTTTCTCTTAGATCCAGTAATATCTATTAATGATAATTAAGAATATATTAATATTCTTCTGTGTAAGAATACTAGTAAGATTTCCAGTGACTTATTCATAACAGATAGGCTCTTCTTATTGAAGTTAAGGGCTATGTAAACTCCAGAAGAGTAAGAATCTCTTGTCAAATTATGTTAAGGACTAATGAAAAAGAAATTCATTGATTTAATGTGAAAATTCAGCTACCTTCTATTCTGATAATTCAATCCAGTCCTTACCCCCTAAAAAAAACTCTTGTAGTTACAAGCCTGTAATTACACACAGCAAAGAAAGGAAATTGCTCCTTGCTAATGGAAATATATATAGGTTTTTAAGTTCCAACCTTTCTCTAAGCTGCTAACCGTCACACAACATATGCCATTTGGCAATTTGTCTCCTAGGATATTCACAAATCTCTTTCCAGTGCTCTCCTGCTGTTCCTTCTGCTGAAGATCCCAAGGTTAATCGGCCAATGACCTCATTCCTTGACCCCCTATCTGAATCTAACACCAAAAATTCAATGCTGATATCATCAAGACCCTCACAAGGAATGTCAAAGACAAATAATTCATTGAACACAGCATTCGGGGTGCATTTCTTCACATGGGTTTTCTTTTTAGAGATTCTTTTCTTAGCATGGTACAGGTTCACTTTGACATAAGGATCTGCAATGACAAGAAAAAGAATGTGCATTAGCTGCTGAATATGGCCCTTCAAAAGTTCATCAATCTTGTTAATGATAAGCTTTGCAATATACCAGCATATTTGCATCACAAGAGGAATTGTTTCAACTTATAGAAGATGATTTATCTCATTTAGCTTTGATGGTCACATCTCGGTCAGTCCCTTTACCTTCCTTTATAGTCACCAAAAATGTAATCAATAGAACCAGCAAAGTTCAAGGCATAATGTCTCCTTCATGACATTAATCCTCCCTGCTTATCCATTAACCTGAATGATTACATCACCATTGCACATAAAGATGAAAATATACTGAATTCTAATAGACTATTAAATATGTATGCCTACATATTTATGTGTAATAGAAATCTACTTTTCACATTTATTCAACAAGTTAGAGTTTAGCATTAATAAGAAAGGCCTAGGAAAGGGGAGAATGGTCTTATGCTGAGAGGATGGATGAATGGATGCTCTTCACTTCTGCTGCAGTTTTACCAAAGCCAGTTAGCTTGATTAAATTGTTCCCACTGTTTTTTTATTGAACAAATGTAGTACTTTAAACATAGGGAGATTCTTGTTGATATATGTATCTGACTATATGAGGGTGATGTACTATCAAAATGAGGAAAAGAAGGGAAAAGTTCATATTTTTCATCTCTGTTAATCAACTTTGAGTGTTTGTGCTTTTCAGAACTTTTTTACTGTTGCAAGATTCTTTTCCTATTACCTTTAATGATGACTGTACTTCTTCCTTAAGAGAAATTCTTGTTAGGCTACAAAACACATTAAAAATCATCCTTTTCAAGTACATTAACACTTATTTCAGTGCAAACATGAGCCTGTTTCCACATTCAAAGGTACAATGTAAACCTCTCCCTATTGAAACCAGTCAAATGTGATATTCCATGCAAAAAAACAGCTTTCAAATTTCAGGTATAGCTGAGTGTAAGGAAAAGAAAAAAAAAAAAAAAATCAGATTTAAAAACACTGTGCTAAAGTTTTCTGACCAAAATGGTCAGATGATAAAGAGATTTTTATTTTCTTAATCTAAGAATATTTCGAAAGGAGTAGTAGATAATATATCTTCACTCTTGTATTCTATACTTAAAAAAAAAAAAGTTATAGATATAATTAATGTGTTGCTTGCCCCAGAATGAGTGCATGCCACATGAGCATTCAGTGGATATATGCTGCTGTCCATTTCTGTTTAAATGACTGTTTCTGGTGATATAATAGATAAAGCCAGCATATTCCTTTTGATTCTTTTAGGTCTTTTAAACACTTTGTAGCTGATGACCAATGAAACTTGTAAAATTTAGTTGAACTGATGAATGAAACAGCCTCAGTGTGAAAAAGATCCCATCTTCTAAAGGAGATTCAACGAGGAGGTTTAGCTGACCACACAGGGTCCCTTAAGCAGAGCACCCTCCTCTGTCCAAGTTTTATGTAGGTCTGATGAGAAAGACTCAGTGGGGATAAGGACAGTCACAAATGCTGTATGTTAGTGGCACCCAAATATCCATTGAGTCAGGACTAGATGATGACCAGCAAATAATGAAGTATTATGTAAATGAGCTGGATGTCCAGGAGCAGCATGACTGCCTATAACTCTTAGAAATATTTACCGCTGTTATAGGTAACTAGGTTGGACTGAAGTAAGCACAAAGAACAAGTAGAATTTATAGCTTAACTCATAGGAGAAATTGTAAAGCAAGTGTGTGGTTTGAGTGCATTATAGAGACTAGGTAGCTGYTGAGACCAGGAGGGCCTTTCTTTTCAAAGCAAACTCTTTTCTCACCAGCACAGATCTCRGCCCAAGAGATCAGCTTGCTATCATGCATCTTCATGAAACTGCCAATGTCTGTTATCCCCTTGGGGATGGCCGTTGAAGGAAGGTGTGCTTGCTTATAATGCAGTAAACTTTTGGGCTCCATTTATCTCTTCTGTGATATAAGAATAAAAGTGAGATCAAAAGGGAGAATTCAGTGAAGCTCATGTAAATGGGAGATATTTCTATCTGCTGTACCAGATCCATGGCTGGTTAGACCGGCTAGATAAACTGCAGTATCTCTTGGTGTTAGAGGGAGAGGCTGTAGTATTGACTATAGTAAATGATTCAGTGGCTACCAAAACTACTTTCTCCTGAGCTTCTTTCAAGAAAATCTTGAGAAGTGAAAGAATATAGTATCAATAGCACATGTGCATGTCTGTAGAGACCTGTGTTATGTACTTTCGGTTTATGGTATTTTTTTTTTTTTTTTATTCTCAGGTAGTTAACACATTGTATTTTAGTCTGTTATTATGTTATCTATCTGAACATTAATGTGAACTTAAGTGCAAATCTAGTATTCATTTCAAAGAAAGTTCCACTGAAGTCAAAATGATACAAGACCAAGAGAAGAGAGTGCGAAAACTGCCTCTCCATTGTGCACCAGGAGYCCCTTTCATGAGAAAGGTTAAAATGTTACAGCTTACTTCCAGCACTGGGATAGTTCAGCTTTTAAGATTGCCAAATAAATGTTACTGCTCAGTGGACCAAACTCAGGACAGTAATAGTAACATCTTCCAGTAATATTAAACTGAATTTTTGTCATAACTAAAAGCTTTTAGTATCTGTCAACACCATCGCATACTTATGGCAGATACGTTCAATTCAAGACAGTGACAAACTTCATTTGTTTCTATTGCTAACAGATGCCTTGAATTTCTACTCTGTGATTGGAGATAAAGTCTGTAAAACATATATCCTGGAAATTAAAGCATTGACCTAAATGGGAATAAAATTAACAGACTGYGAATAATAGAAGCACTATTCCTTCATTTCTAGGCCGTTTTTAATCATTGAAATGACACATTTTAGCTGTGTCTGCTCTGTTTACTCTGCATTCTTAGAGCACATTCATTAGCAAAACCGTTACCTGATAATCCTGACACATCAGATTTAGGTAGATGTCTGGCTTTTAAAACAACCACAGTTAGTGTGTTTGTTGTAGACTGATAACAGAGAGAGATCAGTAATTCTCCACGCCCAGATGATTTCTGAGGAAGTGAAAGGAAAAAAAAAAAAAAAAAGACTTTTTATGAGCAATTATCCTGACAGAGCTTAAAACTGGAATTAAGAATAAGATCTTTAAATGTCACATAATTGTATTTCCTGAGGTGATAAAAGAAGTTATCATTTATAGAGCTGTGCTAGTTTACATAGCGGATATTTTTTCCTTCTAATATAGTTACATAACTTTTTTTATGGTTTGCTAGTAGACTGAACGTTAAATAAATAGAAAACTAAAATGTATTTTAATATGATATCATTAGTTTCAGAGATGAAAATATAAATCCTAAATCCTGGGAAACAAACTCAATGAAAGGAAAAGATCTTAAACAAAACTAAATACTGTAAAAAACATGTTAAAAGTTGAGTAGAGACAAATCAGAAAAAAATCTTCAATAAAACCTTTTTAGCCAGTAAGGATTCAAACTATTACTGAAGTCTCATCCCTAACAATCTCTAAAGGACTGTCATATAAATGGAATAAGGTCAAAGATTTTCTGTATAATTGTTAGACTGAATTTGTAGAAGTAATAGACTTATTTCACAAAAACAAAGCAAGCAGGGGAAGCAAAAGGAAACAGTACTTTATGTATCAGTAAACTCAATAAGATATCAGCAAAATATCAGAGACATAGTTATAGTTGTAATACAGGAGCAGTAGAATTGCAAAATACCAATATCAGTTATAGGTATGTTGTCTGGTAGACATTTATTTGATTTGGCAGCGTGCTTAGTCTTTGAAAACAATCAGATTGAAAGTCAATACACATTCTACTTCCTTGGTAGAGATTAAGAGATGTGTGTGATGCATGAGCATTTATGTGGTTCAGTTGTGATTGTTGTAAATGATCTTTACTTTCTGTAACCACATAAAAAAAGGAACTATTTTTGCCCAGTGAAGTCATCATGTTTTATCACCGACTTCAGTGAGGCTTTGTCTGCTCTCATATCTTACTGTCCTTAGCAGAGCTGCTGCCTGTGTCACAATTCTTAAGAAAGAGGCAATAACAGCACAGAACTATACCAATAGTATTGTTCTATTAGTGCCCAATACTATAAAGTACATCCATATTCTTTATGAACCTGCTACAAAATCTGTGGAGGTAAAGGTTTTCATTGACTTTGYGAAAGAGTGACTTCAAACAGGAAAGGGGAATAGTACATAAATCTTTGCATTATTTTGTTTTCAAGCAAATTCATGTGGATTGAGGCCTCTTGGCCTAATGTAATGGGCCCACTCAAACTTTCTGGACCAGCTAAACAAGGAGGTAGAGCTTAGGACACTGGCATTTTCTTATATTATGCTCACTGCAATGTTCTTTTATTACGTTTGTGTAACTGCTTCCTTATACCAGCCGATTCCTTATGAAAGCATCAGCATGGYTCTTATGATTGACTTGCTTCCTTTCTAAAATGCTCGCAGCATTACACAAGAATGATAGCTAAAACTGGCACAATACTCTTAAAGATTAAATAAAAACATGTTACCCTAACATTTCTTTTGATGATCTCTCTGTCCATTAGCATCCTTCCTCCCGACAATTCAATTCCTGCGAGGGGGATGAGAACTTCTCCAATGACATCATCTCTGGAAAACCTGTCAAAGCTCAAGATCGTGAAGTGAAGTGTTAAGTCTTGGAGTTGGCTATAGGGGATCCCATAAAATGTGAAGGTCTCATCAAAAGCTGGGTCTAAGGTTTTTCTCAGCACTCTGGTTTTCACCTTGTGCTTCTTCTCAGGCAGGATTGTCATTTTGATGTAAGGATCAGAAGTCATTGACTGTTCATCCATTGCTGGCAGCCCACGTGCTTCTTTGATATTCACTACAAATGCTTTTTTCTCAAAGTTGTACTCTAAGGAGAAAAAGAGAGTTCCTARTTTGTCTTGTTTTTCTTCAGAAGACAGGGATGTGGTTGATTTTAAGCTGTCAGGGGACACAGAATCTTTATTTCTTTCTGCAAAGTGTTTTGGAGACAAATTTTCAAGATCTGGAGAGCTCTGGGTTTTTGGGGCTGTCTTGGGGAAGTTGCCATTTAGATCTCTCTTCTCCAGGTCAAGATGGAGAGAATTCTTTGGCGTCACTGATTTGTTCTTTGTTTCGCTTTTATCATCTGCTCCAAACTTCTTCTTACTGTTGAGATTTTCAGGGTAAATGTCAACCCCCTTCAGAACATGGACAAACTTATATGGAGGGGTCTTATTGGATTTAGAAGATTTACGCTGGCAGCAGATCCAAGCAAAAAGGGAGACAGAGAAGACAAGGCCAAATGCACTAAAGATCCCAACCACTGTAGGAATTTCATCTGYAAATTAAATAAATAGTAACAAACACATAACCAGCAGTGCCTTGGATTCTATGTGATATTTCATAAAATAATAATTAAATAAAACAAACTGATACGAGATAGTAACAGCAGCCAAGCTGGCAGACTGAAATGCTTTGCATAGTACATATTGCTCGCCACCTKCAGGCGTAAATGTGTAGTCCYGTACCAGGCACACTTATGTTAGTACTTTTCCATACACAGTGTAATTGGAAGGAAAATACTATTCCTGTCCTAATAGTAATAACCATTAGTAATTGCTCGAGAATCACTCATCCCTCTATGTGTAGTTTCTGACTTTAAATGGAACAATTTTGTCTGAGTGAGTAATGCTGTGTTCGTCAGAAGGCTTCAGCTTTGAGTGTATGGAGCTTTGTTGGTTAGAAAAAACAGATTCTGAAAAATGCATTACTTATAGATCCATCATCTACTTTCCTCACACTGCTTCCTAGAACACTTTGTACACTCAATTAACTCCTTTTTTTTATGATCTGATCCTGTAATTACCTGGAGGTGTCTCTTGAAGGAAGGGAATTTAGGAGGAGGTTATAACACTCAACAGTTTTGATGGGATTTTCAGTAATTTGCAGGGGGATGTCTATTAAAAAAAAGAAAAAAAAAAAAAAAAAAAAAAAGGCAAGTTAACTATATACCAAGTGTCTTCCAGATGGGTGTGACATTGGACAGACACATTTGAGCCCAAAGCTGAAAAAATTCTTAAGTGTATCATTGATACCTACAAAGCTTTGAATCTATGAAAGTATAGATCAAAACTATAAGAAGTTTACAGGCAGGGTCAGTAGTTTTTAGGAGAATGTAAGAAATACGTTAGAAAGTATTTTTCTTCTACATTACCCTGAATCCTATACTTGAAAGATGCATAAAGAGAAAGTGTTGCAACCTTCAGTTGCCATGTGGATGTAATAGTTGCACAGAGAGTATCATTAGACCTTCACAACCATGCATTGAAGGGGCAAATGAGCTCGACTAATTGGAAATCCAATTTTGCCCATAAGTAACATTACTAAGTGAGTTTAAACCTCTCACAGTTTAACAATCAAATCTAAATCCTTATTCCCTGCACCGGTGGAAGGCTAGTAGAATATTAATGGAATGACATTGTTTATGCATAAAGGCAATTGTGTAACAGTTCTGGTTCTCTGGCAAGCAATTAGCAGATCTTTCTGGATGAGAATAACATCACTATCCCCCTCTATGAATGACTCAATCAGTTTAAAACAGGTAAAAGCCAGTCAGATAGACATGCTGCCATTATACCCTTTTGCCTTTTAGTAGCTAAGTAGAGATATATATATATATATCAAATCAAATTAGGACATAATGTTCCAGCACAAAAAGGATCAGGCCTGCCACTGAATTTCATCTAACAACTCGCCCTTTGCCTTCAAGCTGTATCATTCTGCATACTTAAGTGTAAAAATTCAATCATACTTAAAGGCTATTTAAAGCATTAATTTCTGATGACTTCTTGTATTTTACATTTCTACCAATTCTGCAGCCCAGGGAATTCAGGAAACTCAGAGCCACGTGCTTAACTTAGGAAAAAAAAATGCTCTCTGGTTATGTAWAGAATTTTCAATCATTTCATTAAATATGATTTGCACATTTCCAATACTGTTTAATTAGCTAATATTTTGACTTCTTGTGAAGGTGGAGATGATGCTATATTCTAATTGTACTGCTACTGAAAGCAGTAGTAGGATCAATTTACTATTTACATTTTTAAGTATCTTTAAATAGTAATTAGATGAGCACGATGTCACAAATGTAGTTAGAAACATCTAGTGGGTGGGGTAGAAAAGAAGATGTAATGGTAACTCCAATGATTTCACAGTTACAACTAATTGTGTTACATTTCTTGCTTTTGTCATAAGGCAAATCAACTGGTTAGTCATTCCAGATAGCTTATTAATAGGAAAAGCTATCTATTGATCCTGGGCTAAATTGTTATTTGAGTTATGTGATGCAAACCCGGAGTCACTTCACTTAGGTCAGTGGAATGATCCTTGAATTAAAACACTGAGAAAGCAAACAAAATCTTGGCTAGAGTCAATATCTGTAAAAGGAGAGTACAGAAACACTTCTACCTACTGTTCACCCGAGTAAAGCTATTCATATGTATATATATATATAYACACATTTTATAAGTGCACATATACGACTGCTTCTGAAACTTCCTGTATCACCTACATCAAGTGATTAGAGAAGACAGAGCTGAAAAGTTCATTGTTATCATTGTTGTCTTCAAAAAAAAAAAAAAAAATACGACTGCTTCTGAAACTTCCTGTATCACCTACATCAAGTGATTAGAGAAGACAGAGCTGAAAAGTTCATTGTTATCATTGTTGTCTTCAAAAAAAAAAAAAAAA